GGGGCATCAGCATATAAACACGCAGCATGGAATAGTCGGTTATACAAGCATATCCTCTCCAAGACTGTGTGGCTAGTGACACCTCCGGTATACAGCTCATAGCTTGTATTCTTTAATCACAATTCAATCGCATTGCTCAAAGATAGGCAAACCTTCACACAGTTGTTAGTGGACGTTCGTGTGCTGTGTGATGGCTGGCCGAAGTGAAGTGGCGACCTTTGATATCCACAGAGTGTATGATAGCATGACCTGTTAGAGAGCAGAAGAATAGAAATGTGAATGATTACTATTTCGTTTTTATAGAAACGAAATTGATTCCTATTTCTTTAGTGATGTACATGATTCTTGTTTGTATAGTAATGTAAATGATTCCTATTTCATTTTTATACAAGCGTAATTGATTCCTATTTCTATAGAAACGGAATTGATTCCTATTTCTATAGTGATGGAAATGATTCCTATTTCTATAGTAATGTAAATGATTCCTTTTTCTATAGTAATGTAAAAGATTCCTAATTCTATAGTAATGTACATGATTCCTATTTCTATAGTAATGTAAATGATTCCTATTCTAGTGTTGTAAATGATTCCTATTTCTATAGAAACGTAATTTAATTCGATTACCCTAGATACTTCCTCCGTTCCCCCATGTTTTCTATAATATAGAAGATGGCTGAACGGCCTAGTTGCCCTAATAGCGACCGAAGGACTGGTCAGTTATATCCAAGGTCACTGTACATCAGCGTCACGTATTGTCCTAAAACCCTAAAACCCCCGGTACTGGGTTGTCCCCGTCCCTTGCACCTTACATTCAGGCCTAGATTCAGTACTTTATTGATGTAGGTAAGTGTCTTTAAACTTTCAGGATCTGGTCTAGTTTGATTATCCCGCCCAAATCGGTGGTCCGTAGCACCCCACCGTGTTCTCGATGTATGTAGTGGACAAACAGGGCAATCGCGTGGAATACGTTATTGTGCCCCGCCTGAACGGGTAGATAGGGCCGCCATTTTGATTTGGAGGCTGATTCAACACGTCGCACGTATACGTTGAAACTGCAAGGGGAGAGAGATACGGATAGGGTGAATGATGTATATATATATGTATATATATGTCATGGACAGATAGGATGGAAGATAAGTATATGTGACATGACAGATGGGATGGATGATAGGTATTTGCGATGTCACATATACAGCTCCGGAGGTTTGTAGTGTCGTCGTATTCAGGAGCATCTCATAGACTATAGGTGACGATCATAAATTGAACCATAGAAGATAAAAAGGGGAGGGCGGTAGGTTGATTTAATTAGAGGTAACAGCCACCTAAGCGTGTAGCTTACACCTCTACTACAATAAAGCAGTCCCGGTGGGTCGAATTCATGGGGTTTAAATAGTTGATATAGAGATAGAGGATGAAGTTCAACCAGGTGATATAGTGATAGAGGATCACTCCCACCCTCCTTCACCTCAGTGCACCACTTTGCATTATGCCGATGTGCGATAGTCAATCCGTAACACAATGGAATGGGCACTACTGAGTACTTTAAGACGCACACAAGAAAATATGGGCAAACCGTTAAACGTTTTATTACGCACACACTTTACCCGACGGATCCCAACCGAGAATGTACTCGTGGGAAACTGGGAGTTCGGTACTATAAATATACCTATCATGAATAGCAGCCAGAGCTTATGGCGTAAAAAAAACATATCTACAAATAGCAGCCAATACCTTTGGCGTATACATATGCATATCTATAAATAGCAGCCAATACCTTTGGCGCATGAATAGCGCATATTTATAAATAGCAGCCAAGAACTTTGGTGTATGAATATGCATATCTATAAATAGTAGCCAATACCTCTCGCGCCCATCAGTACCAGCCCGCACTTTGGACAGACATACGTCGTTGGCCAGGCCCTCTCCACTCCTCGGGGTTTCGGGTGTCAGGACAAAGTCGTCACTGAAAGGTCTGTGGGTGCACTCAGTGGCCTGTCCTGTTTTTGTGAGAATGGACATGTAGTGTAGTGTAGTATTGGTGTTGTTAGTTTTGGCTCATATGTCCTGTTTTTGTGAGAATGGACATGTAGTGTAGTGTAGTATTGGTGTTGTTGGTTTTGGCTCATATGATCGCTCTACAACAATGGAACGGGTGACAAACAAATAGTACTGCAGCGACAGAGACCGTAAACAGCAGACAAACATACATAACGACAATATACAGTTAAAGTCAACTCATGCCACGATTGGTGTGTGCATATAATGGAGATGCCCTTTGTGCGAAGCAGAGGATTAGTGCACGGATGTGATAGCATATCATATCATATCACGGAGAGAGGGATGGATGGGGTTGTGCGATATATTTGGGCATGTAAACATCGGTCAGCTTCTATAGTACGTAAAGCCTCCTGATAGTTCACAATCGTATGCCGGAACTACTCGCACGCACAGGGGATTACATGGGACACCCCAGACGAGTGGTAGATAACCGTTCACCTTCTATAGCATGTAACATCCCTTGATGGGGCATAGTTACGTACAAGCGCATCACACACAAACACAGGATTACATGGGACACCCGAGGCTATAGATAGGATAGACTCTGCCCAGGTGTGGTTATGTGAGGTATGGTGTAGATAAGCGGTATACGTATTTGCCCAGAGGCGGTTGTGTGCATTGCAGTATACCGAGTGTGAGCGCCTGTGTGCGTTTCAACGTAAACAGAACGCCCCTTGGCGGCGCTACAAACACAAAACAAGCACACACACACACGCACACGCACACGCACGCACACCTTGGCTGTCGGTGTGGGTACAAACAACACATGTTAATGTCCACGAACGTCGCAAACAAATGAAACACGATACAACCACAACCACAGCCACAACCACGACCACAAACAAAAATCACAAACACACACACACACGCGCATCTATATATATATATATATATACGCACACACACACCTCGGCTATCCCGGTGTGGGTACAGACAGGGCATGTTAATGTCCATGAACGTCGCAAAAAAATGGAAGACGATAGCCGTGTCCGTCAGTTCGTTTGTGATCCATCTTTGCTCTCGCACTTCAATGCCCTTCTCTGAGCGGTACGATGCCAAAGCGTCACCCTCAGCCAGCTCTGTGTGGCCAGGGTGTGGTAAATGCAACGGAATGAGATACGATGGTTGCTTGGAGAGTTTAGAAGGACATGCACTGTAGAGGAGATACGGGTCAAGGTATATAGAGTAGGATCTGGTACTTTCGTATACTTTGGTATTCAGATAGACACACGCACACACACACACACACACACACACACACACACACATATATATATATATATATTATACTTATACATATATATATTAATATATTAT